CTCTCAAATGTTTCTAACCCGAAATAATCCAACGACGTTCACAGTTATATTTTACTTAACCTTTTTCAGATTTTAAAGTATTTTTTTTCTAAAAATTTGCATTTCAATATAGGAGGGTATTACAAACAGGTTAATTCTCTAGTTGCACCTAAGGGGCGCTGTAACCGCTTAAGTTTCGCAAACTTTGCGTCGGGACGTATCGATTTAAAGGGGAAGTATTGATGTTCGTACTTGCACAACTTGAAACATAATGAGTATAGACAACTTATTATGTTTTGGAAATAATTTTAAATACTATTATGTCCATATTACTTATCTACATGTTAGGATAAAATTACTAGTTAAAAAGAGTGTGTCACATAATCAAATAGTTAAACATATTAAAGGAAAACGCTTGGAACTTCTCGTTCATCTTACTTCATACTAATAATTATAAATGCGAAAGTTTAGATGGATGGATGGATGAATGTTTGTTGGAGTATGTTGCCTATACGGTTGTTAGAGTTTGTTGCCTAAACGGCTTAATGGATTTCGATGAAATTTGGTATAGTCATAGAGGATAGTTTGTAAAGACACATAGGCTACTCACTTTGGTTATTTTTTAATTCCAACCGGACGGAGACGAGGGCGAAAGCTACAATCAAATAAGGTTATAACGTCCAAAAACAACCTTAAAATACGTTGTATGTTATTTAAATTGTTAATTATCTAGTACATTCTATTGTTATGTTATCGTCCGGTAACAATAGTAGCGATGTTTATTAAATAACATTTGGTTACAGTGGCAACTGCTAATAATTCGCTCCAATATTTCTAAAACATCCTCCATCGATATCCAAACATTGTGCGTCATTTCAAATAATATTTGAGTAGATAAATAATAGATATATGTACGTGTAATAATTCCTCGAAATAGCCTATTTCAAACTTTTAATGCTGGTTTACTGAAGTTTCTATTTATGTTGTCATTACCTAGTGATTCGTAATTGGTAGGTTAAAATAAATTTCAAAGGAACAAAACTCAAGTTGTGTAAAAAACAGTAACTAATGATTAAACGTAACTAGGAAACTGGCTGTAAATATTGTGTCATGTATTTACAACTCGCATCATAGCCTTTTTGTTAGTATTTAAAGTACGCGTAAAGCTCCCAAGCTTTTATAGAGCTAAACTCGAAAGCTCTACAAAATGAAGCAAATCTACATTCTCTGTTTGAAGTACAAATTATTATTTGTCAAAGTTTTTCTCACAATTATTAACTGTTTCTGTCAATTATGAAATAGGCATTGTTTCACAGCTCGTTTGTTTCTTTTCACGAACTCGTCAAAAACATTTGTGAGAAAAGATCAATGATTCAATAGTTCCTAATGTCGTTTCAAGATGTAAATAGCGTATTCCTGTCTTCTTAAATCAGTAATGTCTTTTAATATTTACCATAGTTATGGTCATAATTGTATTCAGTAGTCAATTCCGGAACCTTCTGGCTCTATCGAGTCATGTCGCTTGCAGAACAGTAATAGTAGGACGTCTAATGTCAATGCCTAATTTTTAAAAGGTCATTAAACTTGCCAAAAACAATAACCGTGTAAAGACACTATACATCTAGCATTGTTATGCGTATCTTAATATGGTGGGGTAACTGGTGAGCGCCTTGTTTAGAGAGAGACGTGTAGATAAGGAGGGAGAGTGCGACGCGCTGCGCCCGCGCACAGTGCGGCAACGTCGCACTAAATGTTTTGTAAATAGATGTCGATTGTTGTGGCAGGGTTGCAAGATTAACCGAAAATATTGTGAGAAGAGGTCAATTGCATGTCGATTTATGAGATGTTATGGTGGCATTTTGTAATTAAATCAGCAAAAAGACTTTTGGATTACAAACTATACGCCTGCCTGATGTCGTAAATCTTTTATGGACTTCCATAACGAGTAATTAAGGAAAATCCCGTGAAAATTAATATGTAGTAGTCAACCAAAAAATGTATGCCATAATTTTACATGTTATGTTATTTAAAAGTGCACATAAGTTGATTCCTGCTATATGATGTATGTTTTATCAATAGTATGCCTGAAATAGACGTCTTGGCAACCCTTTAATGTAAACGCGACAGCTCTATGCGTTGGATAGAGAAAGAAATGGTGTCAAAAACACAACAAAAATGGACTTTACGCAGTTGAATTATGGAATAGTGATTATTATATACAGTTATGAGTCGGTCGGGTATAGCCGTAGCCCGTTGTACAAAGTTTTTATCACATTTTGGTTCGGTTTGTAGAATTAATTATTATATGTGCAAATATTAACAAGTATTTAAAATCATACATAGGAGATTTTGAAGTTATTTTTTTTTATTTATAGTTAATTGATTTAATTTCTAGTTTCTTAATTAAAAAAATTGTATGTAACTTAATAAAGATATCTAGACATTCGTTTATCGATTGATTTTAACGAAAAACAGTCGATAGAACTACGCGTCTTGATACGTGTTTATTCCTAAAATAGTTTCTTTATTTGAGCTGTTGCCAACGTTTGATTTCAATTCGATTTTTAGGTTTTTTTTATGCAAACTGCGTTTTTGTTACACCAATAATCACTTGTAGTCACGTTGTTTGAGAGTAAAAACTATGTCGGCTAAATAAACAAACTACTAAAATATGTCATTTAAAACGACATTTATAAAAAAAGACGCGTGAGTTAAAAGTAATTACAAAAGAGAAAGGTTTGTTAAAATTCCTCAAACTTAGTGGAATTTTAATTAATCAAGTAAAATCAGGTACGGTCCAGCGAGTACAAGGACTTACGATCTTCGCATCGTAAACTGCGATACATTTAAATCGAGGCAATCCATACACACCTCACTATTTGACACATGCATGCATGAAAGAAGTAATATTTAATTTCTAACAAGAATAATGACTATGGGGTAACAATTGTTCCGATTCTACATGGAGTGGGGACAAGGCTTGAGATAATGATATAACTTTTTGTTTTAGGTCAACAACAACATAAAAATTGACAGCACTAGAGGAAACATAAGCACTGACACATTTTAAATTCCCTGTACCAATTTTACTAATATTATAAATGCGAAAGTTTATAAGATTTCCTAGCCTAAACGGGTGACCAGATCTCGATGCAAATGCCATACGTAGAGGTTAGTCTGGAAGAACACGTAGGCTACTAACTTTAGTTTTTTATTTCCACGCGGACGGAGTCGCGGGCAAAAGCTAGTTTTATATAAAGTACAAGGTCCTGACAGCCCCCTTTCCTAATCCGTTACTAGTGGACAAAACATCCTCTATAATTAATTAATTCCGTCATTGTTTTAATAAATTTGTCATAATGACTGTTTATGTTGGCGAGTGCCGGCGAAATTTTAATAAATAAACTGAAAGGCGGAGCGGGGTGGCATCGAAATACAGCCGGGGTCGACGACCCATCGACCGCCCCCCCACCCTATAGCCTCCATCGCCCCCCTTTTCCCCCACGGCGCTGCTCCCTCGTATCGAACCTTCGCGGATGTGATGTGTCTTATACATTGTAAAATAGACAAGTATATTGAAATATTAAAGAACAACGATAAGGTCAAAGAGCTCACAAGAAAACTGCTAAGGAAAAGACAAAACGCTCGTTGAATTACAACATTCGAAATTCGAATTTCAAGAATTTTGCAAATTCGAATTCATATGTTAAAAAATTAGAAGCTAAAATGCAATGAAGTAAGCGTCGTGTAGAATCCCTTCCGGTCATCATTTTTTAAGACTAAATTAGTCTAATATTTGTCCACCAAAAAATAAACAGTAGAGTCCTTTTCAGTGACATCAACGAAAGCAATATTTTGTAATCGTAATTCATTAAAGCCTTTCCCGACGTTGCATAAGCGATGCAAGACTATTCAAAAAAAATCTTTACGGCTTCTTCATCATAGACATATTATGTCTATTCGATGTTTTGAGTTGTCCACTTACCGTTATATGTAACGTTGTTACCTGCGACTACAAAATTGATATCTATGATAAATCATATAAAAGATAAAAAGCAAACGGAACATTAAACATGCGCTGAACTGAATTGTAATCATCAAACGGTTGGTTAATATTTTTTCAAGCACTCGTACGACTTCCCTTGTTAGTTCGTTAGTTAGCTAGGGTTGAAATCTTGTTAGCTAATTTTGACCCAGTTCCATAGTTGCTTTGCTTGAAATTCTGCTTAATTTTCATTAAACATTTGTTTTTTTTAATACTTTCAATATTCAAATAATAAGAAGTTTATTTTAGTTCCAATTTTATGAAACTTTCAATGAAATAACGTTACAAAAGATTACTAAAAAGGTTTAAATACAAGGTATAATTACACAAGTCAGGCGTAAAAACTGTAGTGAAGTTAAAATACTTGTATTAAAAATGATATTTTTACTAAAACTTGAAGATGTTTAAAAAGTCAACTCTATTCAGTCAAGAGAAAGCAGTCTTGTAGTGAGGCGCCCGTTTTGTTATTGCTTGTTATACAAAATAACTATTGTATAATCAAGATTACTATTTGTGCTAGAAATAACCAATAAATAATAGATACAGTGATAACAGTGCTGTTTTTATACCTTTTACAAGTGTAGTTCGACAAAATTATTTGACCCAATGGTTATAAGTCATAAGTCAAATTAAAATTGCCACAAGATTCTTGTCAGACTGTCTATTGACAGCTACGGTCGTATCATCTTGTGATATTTTCTGTGCTTTTGTTAATAATTAATATTATTATTACTAGTAGTTCTACTACAATTAATAATTCAGTTAATAAAACTAAATACAAAACAGCATTTAGGTAAAGAATTGCAAGGTTATATTAAAAAAAGCAAAATAAAGACTAGGCTAGGCTTTTTGAAAGGCAGTGAAGTCAATTTCATTAAGTCATCGATAATATGAAATGTAACAAATGGTGCAAAAAGTGCAAATGAAATAAAAAATAAAGATGCTACGTTAGACAAGGATGCATGACAATATTTACCTTGATGTCTTGCAAGACCTGTAAACAATTAGAAACATATTAGTGGTTTTGTACAATAACGCTTACAATGGAATATTCACACAGACAAATCCATTGTTACAAGTCAATGCTGCTATTTAGGTCAAGTTTTAAGGTTACTACTTAAAATTTGACAAACTTGTAAAGGTCACGCAGATCATTTTATCAGAGACGTCAAACACACTAAAACATATTTCTAAAAATCTTCATTAAACGTCGAAAACTCAATGCTGTAATTTTAAAAATAAAAAATTGCTTAAACCGGAATATACGTTGTTATTAATATTATTGTTTATATAAAACAACTAAATAGTAATTTAATAAAATTAAACTAAAAGTTAAAACATTGCTGAAGCAATTTAAACAATTAGTGAGGTAGAAATCTCGGCGATCATTGCCTTGGTGTACAGTTTCAATGTAATAGAAACCTTATCTCTATAACCATAGAGTTAAAATTACCCAGCCCACTCTGTAACCCGGTTTCTTTTGACATTTAGAAACTTTTTCGAACAAAGCATAATATGCAAAGTGAAAATATCTAAAGTTCAAAAGAATAACAAATAGATCGATGGTATAGTTAAATGCTTCGTCTTTTGTGTCAGAGGAGTTGGATTTACTGTACAACTTTTTTAAATCACACTTAAATATAAGAAACTAAGGGCCTGTTCCACTGGCTGATAGAGGCTTAAATAGCTGAAAAATAACGTCACTGTCAGATAAGGTAACATCCGATATTTCCATCACATATTTCACACGTTGGATTGTTATCAGACAATGTACAATTTGATGGGACACGGAAACATAAAGATGTAGAGTAGAGTAGTTAGAGTAGACGCTATGTTTTCTAAACAAATTTCTAAACAGCTGAATATTATCACAGAAATAACGTCCATTGTCAAGCTTAACTTTCTAAAATTCGACATAACTTGTTACTTGCACGTCATTTAAAACTTTGCCTGAGTTCATCAGTTGCCGTCATTTTATCACTTGGGTTCAAACGTTGTTTGGGAACTCATTTATTCATGCTACTTTACAAGGTTGGGAAAATACGATACTTGCCGGTATTTTATTAAAGAAGCTTTTTAAGTTACATAATTAACTTTTTGTATAAAAATAAGTTTTACTTTGTATTTAAAGCCAGGTTAAATCATGAATTTTGAAAGAAAATAATTATAATATCGTTGCGATGTAAAGTAACCGTTTTTATCGATGTGTAACATTTTATGTTGTTTTTTTTGTGTCACATTTGATAACGAAATATTAAAGAATTTAGCTGTAATATTTTCGAAACAAAGTTTCAATGGTTTCGCATATTTTTGTGTAACCAAGTATGAATATAAAATTTAAGGATGAAATGAAGTAGAGTCATCGTATGTCATTGAAAATAACAAAATGTCTAAAAGCTTTTATACGACAAATCATCAAACAATAGTTCAGTCGATAAAGCTCCGTCAACCGACAAGCTTCGACAGTTTATTTGACGGATAGTCACCCGTCGGCATCCGGATGAGCGACCCGACATATCCGGATATAAAAGAGGGTTAGGGGTGTATGAGTGTCATAGGTCGAGAGTCACAAGTGAGGAAAGAACCATTTGTCTATGCCAGATAAATCGGTTTTCTCATAGACACAGATATTAATAGATTCTATGGGAAGCGTTGAAACGTATGAATGCGAATTTTTAAACACCTTTAGCCTTCTTGTTGCCAGTGATGTGAAAAATAACGATAGGCATTGGGATTGTGAAGATGTCTGTCAAGCCTAAAGGGTCAAGGGTCATCGCTCCCGCCCGGGTTAAGTGACCCGGACTTTGCCGCCAAGTTAAGAAATCTTATCCGACCTTAGAGTAATCGCTTGTTACGTGTAGGGCAGGTCAGTTACGATCTAACAAAAAGCGATTTCATAAAACTAAATAGTTGTTATTTCGTTTTAGTATAAAATAATTTCTTTATTTGTTACAAGAAGTTAAACTAATTGAAACATATTACTAGTAAGCTTTTATCGGATTTGCTTGCGGAAATTTAAAAAGCTGTTAAAATAATAAAATCTTTGAAGTCAATTCACAAGCAAAGGCATTTCACAAGCCGACATGTAGTCGAGGGCGTGTGACAGGCGTACAGCGCGCGCCCTGTCGGGGATATCGACAAAACACGTGTCGCTATGAGCCGGCAGCCGGCAGCCGGGCGGGCGGCGTGCCACCACTATCAAAGCTGTTTATCACCGTTTACTCTGATCGCATATCAAAACGAAGACACATCGCTTCTAGATGCGCCATGTTCTAGAATTAGCTTCAACTAAATAAGCACACAATTGTAATAAAGTGCATTCTAGTATTTCAAAAGTTACTCGTGCATTATTTGTTTTGTTCCTAACATCAATTATCAAGTAAAGTATTTACTTATGATCATTACTGTACTAGTTTATGTTAGATTTGGTATTTCATTATTTGTAATTGAGACGTGTTCGTAATCAAAATCTTAACACATGTTCGGTAATAGTAGAAATTACATTTATAAATTATGTGCCACATCTATTCAGTTTACATCGGAGGTCGTCTGGCGCGCGTCTGCGGCTCCCTGCGGCCGGATATGTTTCACCCGGCTTTGGCCCGGGCTGCGGCTTCTTTGAAAGCACGTGCGCTTCCGAAAGGGCAAGTTCACGCATTTCTATTTCTTTATCCGTGTTTACCGTGTTACGGTCATGGTAGAGCACGAATCTAGGTTGTTTATTTCGCATTCCATGAATTACAAATTGCATTTTTTCAACAGAATTGTTGTTGTTTTCAAGGTCTAAACAGATAGACATCTAGACTCATCTGCTCGTTTCATATGAACTTCTTTCGCGGGTGTGTGCATACGATTATGTAATGTATGACATAATTAGTTAAAAGTTGACCATTACGTCTATTTTTTAACTCTATTATGACCTCATTGAAAAAATAAAGAGTACAATCAACTGCGGCTGGCTTGAGTAAGGTCTGGTGACAAAGTGATCCCCTGTCGAGTGCGATTTGCCGCCGCAACGCCGAGTAAGCGGCTCGCTGCGGGTGTAGGGTGACAATAGTTAAGTAATTCCTAGGAAAGAAGTTCTAGGTAGTTTCTTAATTGCAATGGTAACAGATATTTTAATTCAATCAAGGTATAATACGAAAATTCTTGAACCGATGACTTAAGACTGGCTGGAACTGGAGCATGTCTTTTATAAAGAATATAACTGCACACGATTTGTGGCTACTAAGGAAATTAACTATCTCTGCATATCTAATAAGCACATGTAGGTAGATTTTAATTTAGTTAAAGAGAAGTTCTTTAACATTTTTCAATTTAACGTAGTCCTGCAAAATATTAGTGAGTTGGTGAACGTAGCGTGGCGGCCCAAGTTCAAGGCTAACCGGAGTGCGGAATCTTGCGCGCGGTCCCGGGGGCTCGGGAAATGTGAGCTGCCCATGAATAGGCTGCCACTTCGGTGTTCTGACTTGTTTGTAAACAAACTTTGGGTCAAGCATTTGATTTGGAACAAGCGAGTTCATTGACATATTGTTAAAACTTGTTACTAGAGAAACAACATTTTTAAGACTCAACACACAAATGCATGCCAAGGACTGCAATTAAATTTGGTCATCATCTTAAAATTTGTGAGCATAGACAATACTTTTCGATGCGACGGATATGATTATTCCAATTAAAAACATTTTTCATATTAAATAAGCACCATTACGTCCCTGGATATCCATAGTTGACTAGAAATATGGTTTTACGGTAACGTATTTTTCATTTTGACATTGACATTATTAAGGTAGCGTGCAAATAGAGCAAAAGAGCTTTTTGCACGTACACGGCCATCAGTTAGTCGTGTTCTAGTATTTTTTTAAGCCACAAATATATACAGCAGTTATCCCTTCGTGAGTAGTTGCGCGTAACAGGAGCAGGTAGAATGGTTAATTGCATTTGATATGACTCGTAAAGTCAATTACGGGCACCGTGAAAACGGACAGAATTAAAATTTACGTCGCGACGTAAAAGCTCCGCAGTCATAATGGCGGCGGCTGCTTTACGTCTGCACACCACACCACTAAATATATCGTTTTTTTACTCATATGAAGTCGAGTAATTTAAAAATACTGTCATATTTTGAGACATAAATTCTCTTTTGATTCATTAATTGCAGTTTTTATAACATGAATGCTTTTCTTGTTAAAGGATAAAATTTTCGTATCCTAAACGGATAATATACTAAGAATTTGGAAGCCATAATCATTATAATTAACAAGACAATATAGAAATACATCATACAATCCTTTCTTATGAAATTACAACATTTTAGAGAGGTTCTTTTTAAGGTAAATGCAGTATTTTAATTTAATTACAAAACTTGTATCGAGAAATTAATTAAATTCGTGCATCATCCGGCTCTGTTTTGTTTTACCCCTATCAGTTTGTTCAAATAGGTGAGAATGCAACACAGGTAGGGGTATAATTTCGTCGGTCCGGGAGTAACTTTCAATTGGCATGCGTTCATTGATTTTCACTTTTTTCCGCCGTCGGCCGCCGGCATCCAGTAGTCGGGACAGACGGACGGCTTTCATTAACGGGTTTTGATTAAAAATGTCTAGATGCAAAATGTACATATATACTACAATATTCGTTATTGTGCATCAAACGGAATGAAAAAATACAAAGGAAACTTACAATCTGATCATTTTTTTTAAATAACTGCCAGTTCTTTAACATTTACTTAAAAAGCTCCTCGGTGTTAACTCTATTAACTTATTCTACACTGAGAAGATCCCTCCGAATACTGCGGCAGTAAATTACAGTAAGTGTTGGAGATTACATGTCTCCCGTAAACAGTGGAAATTTCATAGAGATCGATACAAACTTTCGCATTTATAATATTATTAAGAAAAAGAAATTGCTTTGTCATTCCTTCGTCACAATTTACCAAATCATATATTATCGAATATTCATATTGTTAAGTACATAATGAATGCCGCTGTCACA